TTATGTATGTATAATGGGTATTTCTACTCATTTGTAATCTACACCTTGCTTTCGGGAAACAAAACTCAAGTAGAATAAATGTTTGGGCATTTTTAATCCGTGTCTATTTCGTCTTCCAAATATAGAGCAACAAATAGTAGTAAATTTTTTATTTGTTTTCTACTACACTTTTCTTTTCAATTTTAAAATAGAAAATGTCACGTTTTGCTCTGTAATTGGAGAAATAAATAGATGAATGTTTGTTTTATTCTAAAACAGGGGAGAAGTAACATTTCTCTAAAAAAACAAAAAAATACATTGGAAAAAAAATAGAAAAATACTATTTTTATTCTATTTTATACTAAAAATAGAAAAATACATTGGAATTGGAGTTAATCTTATAAAGTATACAACAAGTTCTATTATATTTTAGCGTCAGGCTAGCACAAAACTAGTGCCTTTGAGTTTTCATTATTAGTTATTCAATATAATTTAAGTACATGTATCAAATTAGTTTCTACATCGTAGGCTTTCTCGTCTTCTTCATTTTCAATATAATTGTGCGTGAAACCTAACATATTGCTTTTCCATCTTCTTCATTTTTGCTTTCAGCTTCTTAATTATATTTTTTTCATTATCAACAAATATGCAATATGCGGATTTATAAAACAACGACGACATTAACGTAAAATTATAATACAATCATTTAATTAACGGTCAAAACGACCATGTTTTATTTCCTAAATTTCACATAGTTAATTAAATAAAAACAGCGTTTTAATAAATTAAGTTTAAAAGTATATCCAAAATTTGATAATTTTCAAGGTGGAACTAAATGGGTTGGATTTTTACTTTACTTTTTGTTTGTAATTTCCCTAATCGTGTGTAAAAGCATAAAAATTATCTAACTAATTAATGTTCAAACTAGTAATGTGAGAAAGAAATCTATTTATTCTTCCTTTGAATATGAATCTAAGAAAATAAATCTGAAGACGGTATACGTATACCCATTTTCATTTTGAAATCTCTCGACTCTTTCTTTGACTATGAATCTAAGGAAATAAATCCGAAGATCTTATACCATTTTAATTTTCACTATAAACTATACCTTTTATACGTTTCTTTGTGTTGTATATAAATTTGATCACCCCGATTAAAGAGAAACTCACAAAGAAGAAATTCTTAAAAATGTCTACCACCAAAAGAATTTTAGTCGCATTTGTTTTCACCATCTTTTTCGTCGCATCTTCTATTCATTGTCGTACAACATCTCATATCATTTCCGGTGCTGATTTATCATTATACTTTCCATGCTTTTTTTTTATCACGAACCTATTTTTCTCCTTTTTAATCGGATGATTAGTATTGAATAGGTTTTGGAATCAAAGAGGATGATCATATGTGCTTCGACACAAGTCCTTGTATCGAAGGTGGTGTGAAAGGCTGCACTGAGTTTTGTACAAGAATGAAGTTTGCATATGGCCTTTGTCCACCAGAAAACGTATGTTGTTGCTATTCTACATAAGCGTGCGTGCAAGATAATCTATGATATTTCTCAAAGAAATAAATAAAGAAGATAATCTATTATTCAAAAACACTATTGTTTTCAGATTTTAAAAAAATATTGTAGAAAATATCGAAAGTGGAATAAACAAACCGTACCAC